ATACATATATATATATATACATATATATATATATATATATATATATATATATTCGAATTATTTCAACTGTCACGTCGTGGCAGTTGGCAGATTTTCCAGGATTAAATCGTCGTTTTCATAATCTACCTGGCTCTTATAAGCTCGATTTCACGTCATTCGGACGCCTATACGAGAACATCTGTTGTCGCAAGCCTAATCCCTTTTAGTTGGCGCTCTTTGCTCACACCAGTCATATTCGCAAATCAATCGTCAATGGAAAATTGTGGTGCTCACTTAGTGTATTGAATACATTGTGACAATATCAGCAGCAGGAAAGTCATTGAAGTGTCTCACCTTGCAAGTACGAAGTTACATCTTTGACTTATACATAGCAGCTGTTTGAAAACACAACAGTAAAATGTGCCGACCAGACAGGAAGTTAATCACTGCAATAGCACCCACTAACATTTAAAAATGTTCGCATACGGTTTGTTGTAACTATACCACCAACTGCGAAGGCCTATGAAATTTAGGAACAGTCACACAATCAAATAACGAACTATGGCGCTTTACGCAGAGTGGGTACCAAAGGAACCCAAATCGCGTTGGGTCATTTGTAAGAGAGCTTGGATTGCTTTTAACGGAGAAACCCCTACGATGCACGCGGATTACTGGACCCCACCCAACGCAGTCCTGCATCATTCTTGAGCTTACTAGGTGGCGTATATTTTCCATTACATTTCGTTTGGTGCAAGCTCATTTTCTACAAATGCAGGCTCAATCTCCACAGCTGACCACTTGCGTTCATCAGTTGGTTGTCTGTGGTTTCATTTCCATTTTACGAGATGGCTAACGTGGTTGGAGTGCGGATTTGCTGATCGGAAGGTCCGCGGTTCGAACCAGACCTCTGCCGCTCGATTAACCCCGTCTAGGCTTGGGTAACCTGGCATCACCCCACCACTCGTGCTTCCTTCGGGTGGTATGGTACCTAGGAACCGAAAGGATGTTACAGCTGAATGGTATATTTATTTCTGTTTTGCGTACCCTATTTGATCACTCGCTTGTGTTCATTTGGTCCAAGTTCCGCAGACGAGTAACACGCTAACGGACAGATAGAATTGGGATGGGGGCCCAGTGGAACTGACATTTCTTCCGGAATGACATAATGGTAGGCTACCCACCAGCGGAAGTTGCTCATATTCAGCCTAAATTTTCTTAATACCCCAAAAATGAAGATGATGATATCCATACGCTTGGATAGTGTATGGACGTAGAGGAGCCGCGAACTCGACTACTTGTATTAGAGTTCCAGGAATGAAGACCACGTCCGCTGGATAGCAAGAATACGCACAAGAAGGCTTGTAGGAATGGAACGGCACGTTCAAAACAAACATGGCCTGATTGGTGGATGCGAGCAGTGATGTGCATTTGGTCACTTCCCTGGGTGTCCGACATGTTTAAGGCTAGGCCCAACGTAATTGTAGAGAGGCGTGAATAATGATGGGTGTCTTCAGCAGTCGCATGTCTTCGATTACCACCCCTGGTGTATGCAGAGAGAAGGTGAGAGGAGCATTACAAAAAGCGGCCATCTTTGAGTGGTTCAAAAACCGTGATTTTTGGCCAACCCTTAATCCTGAATGGTAGTTGCACTATGGAGTAAAAATCTGTGGCGCCAAAATTGAGTTGGACTGTCCTGATGTACCAACTAAAATGTCATCACCTACAGTATAGCGTGATTAACTCAGGTTTGAGGCGAACCGGAAGCAAGGCAACATCGAAGTTCATCAGTTGGTCAGCAGTATAAGGTGTAAGGATGCGCTCACCGCACCCATTTTCCAACTTTTTTCAACCCAGTAAATGACGCTGCCTTGTGGATTTTGTTTGATTGTTGATGAGTCCGCAACTTTCTGGCAAAATTTCTGCTAGTATAGAGATCGAAGGCGTGTGGTACAATTATTTTGTGGGCGCACAGATGCAAGAACCTGGCGAGTAAGCATACACGAAAGTATCCCTGAAAGAACATCAACAGCCATCCTGACAAAGGTATTAGCACTCACGAATCACCATGAAGGGAACACTATCCTCTTTTTGAGGTCCTTATGGTGAGACAATGGTGTAGTCACTCTCTATGATGCAAACTAGTACAGGCTCCTAGCCGCTCCAAGTACTTTGACAAGTAGATACTAGAAAACCTTGCTAACGGGTCTTCCGTCTTGGATGTAGACCTGAGTCTGGGGAACTCTGGGCAGTCACTGTTAAGAGCTACAGGGGGGTCCCGAGATCGATTCCAGGTTAGATCCCGCGGGTCATAAAGGGTAGTCTCTTACGGGAGTAATGCTTGCTAACTCACCTCGCATGCCCAATCACGCCAAGGTTTTAACAGTATACTCCTAATAATTGGATCAGCATCAGGAACACAGGCTCGAGGCGATAAGTAGATAATGTAGTAACCAGAGCATGAAACCCCAATGAACAAGGCACAGAGGTCATGTGGAGATTTTAACTGCACAAGTGCACTTTCAACGCGGTGGAGACCTATGTGACTAAACGGAATCAGATCCTCCACTTCCGTCAGTGATGCTTGGGACGACTAGAACGAAATAGTTCGCCATGAACCTAGAAAAGTCGATTTGTTCCCCTCGAGGAACAAACACGATGACAGGCAATCTCACACCTCCGTGGATTCGGAAACACGCAGTTCAACCTCCCACATACCAGTAAACTACCGGACGACTGACATCAAAATTAACCAGACTCGATGCATACACTCTGTTGCAATGAGACGACTTCTTGTTGTTGCCTGTCGGTTCATTGGGATGATGAGATCAGAAACAACCACGTACACCGAACAGACCTGATGCAGAAACCTCGGAATGGGCTGTGAAACTGCGGAACCGCCAAATAGGTAGAAATTTGAGAAGCCACGTATTTGTGGAGACACAAGGGCCGGCAGTGAGATGGTGGAACGTTTGGAAATTTAAAAAATAGTTTACCGTGGATCGAAATTTATTAAACTTTTGGAATAACAACCAAGTTAAGCTTCCTCATTCTCTTCCTCTTCGAACTCTCCCTCTTCTTCAGCGGTGGCATCTTGGTATTGTTGATATTCACTCACCAAGTCATTCATATTTGATTCCGCTTCCGTAAATTCCATCTCGTCCATACCCTCACCCGTATACCAATGCAAGAAGGCTTTGCGACGGAACATAGCGGTGAATTGCTCCGACACGCGCTTGAACAGTTCCTGGATTGCCGTACTGTTTCCGATGAACGTCACTGACATCTTCAAACCTCGTGGAGGTATATCACAAACTGCGGTCTTAACATTGTTTGGAATCCACTCCACAAAGTAGCTGGAATTCTTGTTCTGCACGTTCAACATTTGTTCGTCGACCTCCTTCATCGACATGCGACCGCGGAACATTGCGGCCACCGTCAAGTATCTTCCGTGACGGGGATCACAAGCAGCCATCATGTTCTTTGCGTCGAACATCTGCTGTGTAAGCTCAGGAACAGTCAAGGCCCGGTACTGCTGGCTACCACGGCTAGTAAGTGGAGCGAAACCAGGCATGAAAAAGTGAAGACGCGGGAAGGGGACCATATTCACTGCAAGTTTGCGCAAGTCAGCATTCAACTGACCAGGAAAACGAAGACAAGTGGTAACGCCGGACATAGTAGCGCTGACCAGATGGTTCAAATCCCCATAAGTGGGTGTTGTCAGCTTCAAAGTGCGGAAACAGATATCATACAAGGCTTCGTTGTCGATACAGTACGTCTCATCCGTATTCTCCACCAGCTGATGTACGGAAAGGGTGGCGTTGTAGGGCTCCACGACTGTGTCCGAAACCTAGAATAGAGATATGAGAAGCCAAAAGCGGGTTACCTTCGGGGAAGGAACAACAGAGAATGTGTTCATAATTCTGTCGGGATATTCCTCGCGGATTTTCGAGATAAGTAGTGTCCCCATGCCAGAGCCAGTGCCGCCTCCCAATGAGTGAGTCAACTGAAATCCTTGCAGGCAATCGCAAGACTCTGCTTCTTTGCGCACGACGTCAAGCACGGAATCCACCAACTCAGCCCCTTCGGTGTAGTGTCCCTTCGCCCAATTATTACCGGCTCCGCTCTGACCGAAGACAAAATTGTCCGGACGGAAGAGTTGGCCAAAAGGACCAGCTCGGACACTGTCCATTGTACCAGGTTCCAAATCGACAAGCACAGCACGTGGTACGTACTTCCCACCGGTCGCCTCATTGTAGTACACGTTGATACGCTCTAACTGCAGATCGGAATCGCCGTGGTAGGTCCCCGTTGGGTCTATTCCATGTTCGTCGGAGATAACCTCCCAAAACTAACGTTGAATGTTAGGAAAACTGAATGCCGACTACCTACCTTGGCACCAATCTGGTTACCACACTGACCTGCCTGAATATGCACAATTTCACGCATGTCAATTAACCGCGTACTCCGAAGACGGCACGGAGAATTTCAAATTCGAATGGGGCGCAGGTTATATACCCGTCTGGAGGTCGTTGGAGGAAACGCCAAAATAGCGATGTAGTTTATTTAAACAAATACCAACCCTCTATCCCCACACAGAACCCGTCAGATGCCCATAGCATTTGAGTAGATTAAGTGAGCATTGTCTTCGCTTTTCACACATCATATATTCGGATGAGTAGGGCGTCCGCCATTTATGCTTCATTGTCCTGAACAGCTACTTAAGTGACAAAGATGGCTCGGGAGTACAGAGATAGATACAGGTTTTCAGGATAAAGAGTACCCGTTTTTATCGCTTGTCACAACTTCCGCGCTTCGAGCGTTAAGTGAAAGGCAGCTGTGTTGTCACTTTTGTTTCCAAATGAAATAGTCGCGGAAGTGGATATTATTAACAACAATAATCATAATTTTTATTCTCAGCTTGTGGTCGGCATACCGTCTGGCGTGATCATACGTTTAAAGTCAGAATGAAGCATGACTGGCGTTCTCGGGGAGTGGGGATTGCGGGAATAGAGGAAAATGTCACAAACAGTGGGAAATATCAGAGGAAATAATAATGATATTTTTCTTTCCCAACTTGTAGGAAACAATGGACAAATACATAGCCGGCTGACATGAACTAAAACTGAAAACCATTACTGGCCATGAGTGATCTTGAACAGCTGGTAAATGGCCGGATCACAACGAACGAAAGTGTAGGTCCGGAAGGAATAATTCGAACTGAATGGAAAGTTGTGTCTCAGAAATGTGGTTTAATCTGAAACCAAGCAGACTCACTGGCTGCACTTTTGTACGGACGTCAGGTGCAAGGGATAGGTTGGATAGAGAAATGGCGCTAATGCCTAGGGCACCTAACACTATACGGAATTGGACTTGTGATAGAGGCAAGCCGAAATTTCCGCAGAAAACCAGGCAGGTCAAATTTGGGCAAAAATTCATCGTCCCAGAGACTATTGGGTCAGATGAAAAATTTGCCCGTAGTTGCATTTAAGGACTCGAGTGGGCGAGGGGCTTGCTGTTGGGATTCTGAAGGAAACGGTTGCGGGAGTACCATTACACTACATATGACATTGCCATACCATCATCGCACTGAAGTGCTTCGGTTTATGGACAGGGCCGTAACAATCGTCATAGGTGCCACGATAGGAGGGGGTAAGCATTTCCGTGGCAGCTGGATCTGGATTACATGAGGGGATTGATACAAAGAGTCAGACGCATGCAGGGTCACGGATAATTTCCCTTAAGTTGGAGGATCGCGTGAGCGCAGATCGAGAACCAGCCAGACTCAGTGAATAACAGTTCAACGCGGCGTTTGGCTACTGCAGCCAAAGTTTGAAGCTTGGGAATTGGGGCAACGAGAGGGGGTAGAATGAAAGCGGTAGCGTGTGGCGAATGTCAGGAGGCATAAGATAATACGGTGTCACTGGAAAAATCTAAAAGGGAGCGATGGCAAGCTAAGTAGACCCAGGAGAGGGTCGCTGATCTAGATACCAATTACTAGTTGGGCCAGATTACGTGCCTAGTTTAAGGAAGGTAAGAACTTTGTCGTCGAGGTAGCTAGCAGGGGGCTAGCTGTTGGACTAGTTGGAACGGGCGGTAGTTTTTAGCTTACCAAAGAATCATGACATAGGGTCTCCGTTGTGCAAAAAGGGTTAACGTGAACAGCGACAGTAGACAAGTAAAAAGCGAAAGGCAACAACATCCTAGACAATGGATAAGAATTGTGGCTTTACTGAGATCTACTACGTTAACCTAACAGGAAAGTAAGATTAAGGATCACCAGTCGCCGAGACACTGTTATCAACTCCAGAAAACAAATGGTGCATGACAAAAAACAACCAGTAAGAGCTATCTTTGACTGCTTGTAATCGGAAAACAATAAGTTATTTGCATTTTGCACGTAGGATCGCTCTAGATGACAGGAGGGAAGAGCATGTGCGCTGTTTGCATGATGAAGTGAACTTAGGGTGGTGTGACCCAACTAACACGAAGGTGGCAACTCCGTGCACTTCGACGTTAGCCGTGAGTCTCACACAGTACCTCCAGGTCTCCCCAAGCATGTGTTAAAACAAACAAATGTACAGCTACCATTCGCTTTTATTTCTTGGTGTTGCGAGACAAGCGACAACCGGGACAAGTTCAATCCAGATGCAGACAAACAGCAATGGTGCCCTTTTTCGTTTTGCTGAATTAAAGGACACACTGAGAACCACGGGCAATGAGCAATACATGCGTGCTAGGGGAAAGCACGGAATCCACCAACTCAGCCCCTTCGGTGTAGTGTCCCTTCGCCCAATTATTACCGGCTCCGCTCTGACCGAAGACAAAATTGTCCGGACGGAAGAGTTGGCCAAAAGGACCAGCTCGGACACTGTCCATTGTACCAGGTTCCAAATCGACAAGCACAGCACGTGGTACGTACTTCCCACCGGTCGCCTCATTGTAGTACACGTTGATACGCTCTAACTGCAGATCGGAATCGCCGTGGTAGGTCCCCGTTGGGTCTATTCCATGTTCGTCGGAGATAACCTCCCAAAACTAACGTTGAATGTTAGGAAAACTGAATGCCGACTACCTACCTTGGCACCAATCTGGTTACCACACTGACCTGCCTGAATATGCACAATTTCACGCATGTCAATTAACCGCGTACTCCGAAGACGGCACGGAGAATTTCAAATTCGAATGGGGCGCAGGTTATATACCCGTCTGGAGGTCGTTGGAGGAAACGCCAAAATAGCGATGTAGTTTATTTAAACAAATACCAACCCTCTATCCCCACACAGAACCCGTCAGATGCCCATAGCATTTGAGTAGATTAAGTGAGCATTGTCTTCGCTTTTCACACATCATATATTCGGATGAGTAGGGCGTCCGCCATTTATGCTTCATTGTCCTGAACAGCTACTTAAGTGACAAAGATGGCTCGGGAGTACAGAGATAGATACAGGTTTTCAGGATAAAGAGTACCCGTTTTTATCGCTTGTCACAACTTCCGCGCTTCGAGCGTTAAGTGAAAGGCAGCTGTGTTGTCACTTTTGTTTCCAAATGAAATAGTCGCGGAAGTGGATATTATTAACAACAATAATCATAATTTTTATTCTCAGCTTGTGGTCGGCATACCGTCTGGCGTGATCATACGTTTAAAGTCAGAATGAAGCATGACTGGCGTTCTCGGGGAGTGGGGATTGCGGGAATAGAGGAAAATGTCACAAACAGTGGGAAATATCAGAGGAAATAATAATGATATTTTTCTTTCCCAACTTGTAGGAAACAATGGACAAATACATAGCCGGCTGACATGAACTAAAACTGAAAACCATTACTGGCCATGAGTGATCTTGAACAGCTGGTAAATGACCGGATCACAACGAACGAAAGTGTAGGTCCGGAAGGAATAATTCGAACTGAATGGAAAGTTGTGTCTCAGAAATGTGGTTTAATCTGAAACCAAGCAGACTCACTGGCTGCACTTTTGTACGGACGTCAGGTGCAAGGGATAGGTTGGATGGAGAAATGGCGCTAATGCCTAGGGCCAACCTAACACTACGGAATTGGACTTGTGATAGAGGCAAGCCGAAATTTCCGCAGAAAACCAGGCAGGTCAAATTTGGGCAAAAATTCATCGTCCCAGAGACTATTGGGTCAGATGAAAAATTTGCCCGTAGTTGCATTTAAGGACTCGAGTGGGCGAGGGGCTTGCTGTTGGGATTCTGAAGGAAACGGTTGCGGGAGTACCATTACACTACATATGACATTGCCATACCATCATCGCACTGAAGTGCTTCGGTTTATGGACAGGGCCGTAACAATCGTCATAGGTGCCACGATAGGAGGGGGTAAGCATTTCCGTGGCAGCTGGATCTGGATTACATGAGGGGATTGATACAAAGAGTCAGACGCATGCAGGGTCACGGATAATTTCCCTTACGTTGGAGGATCGCGTGAGCGCAGATCGAGAACCAGCCAGACTCAGTGAATAACAGTTCAACGCGGCGTTTGGCTACTGCAGCCAAAGTTTGAAGCTTGGGAATTGGGGCAACGAGAGGGGGTAGAATGAAAGCGGTAGCGTGTGGCGAATGTCAGGAGGCATAAGATAATACGGTGTCACTGGAAAAATCTAAAAGGGAGCGATGGCAAGCTAAGTAGACCCAGGAGAGGGTCGCTGATCTAGATACCAATTACTAGTTGGGCCAGATTACGTGCCTAGTTTAAGGAAGGTAAGAACTTTGTCGTCGAGGTAGCTAGCAGGGGGCTAGCTGTTGGACTAGTTGGAACGGGCGGTAGTTTTTAGCTTACCAAAGAATCATGACATAGGGTCTCCGTTGTGCAAAAAGGGTTAACGTGAACAGCGACAGTAGACAAGTAAAAAGCGAAAGGCAACAACATCCTAGACAATGGATAAGAATTGTGGCTTTACTGAGATCTACTACGTTAACCTAACAGGAAAGTAAGATTAAGGATCACCAGTCGCCGAGACACTGTTATCAACTCCAGAAAACAAATGGTGCATGACAAAAAACAACCAGTAAGAGCTATCTTTGACTGCTTGTAATCGGAAAACAATAAGTTATTTGCATTTTGCACGTAGGATCGCTCTAGATGACAGGAGGGAAGAGCATGTGCGCTGTTTGCATGATGAAGTGAACTTAGGGTGGTGTGACCCAACTAACACGAAGGTGGCAACTCCGTGCACTTCGACGTTAGCCGTGAGTCTCACACAGTACCTCCAGGTCTCCCCAAGCATGTGTTAAAACAAACAAATGTACAGCTACCATTCGCTTTTATTTCTTGGTGTTGCGAGACAAGCGACAACCGGGACAAGTTCAATCCAGATGCAGACAAACAGCAATGGTGCCCTTTTTCGTTTTGCTGAATTAAAGGACACACTGAGAACCACGGGCAATGAGCAATACATGCGTGCTAGGGGAAGGGTGGTGAGTAAACGAACGCACCATGGTGCGGCGTAACAGGTTGCCCCTCCCTGCAGGGCGTACCCATCCACCACACGAGGTTTTCATCCCTCGTGCACGCTACCAGATCTGCAGGGTGACGAGCCGCCAAGCAGTCATAATTGTGGTTTGTGCATTATTGATTAACACCATCGGTCGTGGAGGAGCCAGGCCAGCAAAACAGCTCAGTCATTTCAAACAAGCAAACAGCAAACAACCACTGGAGGAGGCAAGTCGCGGAGTCTATGGGAGTAGAATGGAGATGTTCAAAGCCTGGTTACTATGGCCAAACAAAGATGAAGCAGTGGTGTGAACTGCCTTGTCAAGTAGAGGTGCACTAGTGTTACGTGGTTGTGTGTGAATGAGTGCGCTGTGAAGCCAAACGAGTAACTCATTCGTAGCACATCTTCAGACCCATCATTTAATGTGCATGCGCTGCGCCTGTTCAGGGGGCCCAGAATGGACCAGGACAGCAAGGAACTACGGATTCGGTTTGGTTAGAGTTATTTAAGTCCAGTCAAAATAAAGCCCAGACATTAAATAAACCTGACATAATTATTCAGGGACGGAATCAGGAATGAAGAACTAGAAATAATTTGACTGGGTACAGAAGCTTAAGGCCGGAGGGAGGAAATACAACCGGGTCAGTGGAGACGGGTCTGACGACATTTAAGATGGAGGAACCAGATACTCTCTGCAACACAACCACGCTTCAGACAGCAGAGGGAAATTTAGTCACAAGAAGTGAACGTCTGCATAAGCGATGGATAAAGCCGTAAACTGTAGACCACAACATTTAGAAGGATGGTTGTCACATTTGTAGGTTGATGCTAAGGGGCTCGGGCTGGTGAGCGTAAATACTAGGACCTAGTAACAGAACAGTCGGTATGAGTGCGCGGATTAGATGGGTTTACAGCCTATTTCAAAAAGTGTCTTGTGCAAGCTCAGGCGCAAAAAGGCGCTCAGCTCCCTCAATAGAAAGTTAAAGATCGATGGCACTTCGGAAGCATACCTGAGATGAGATGGTATGGATATAAGATGGGAGTTTGTTCAATAGTTTGGAACACAGGTGAAGAAAAAAGTTTTCTGAAGACGTTTCGACATGTCAACAATGGGAGGAATCACCCAAAGTTGCAGATATTATAGGGAGTACAGGAAGAAAACTCGGGGCAGCGGTCAGCTATGTAGACCTCCCGTAGATCACGCTATGCTGAAGGCCTAGAGTCAACCTGATGCACCTTAGCCATGGTAAATCCAGCCCAAGTTACAAACAGCAAAGGCGATGCGGCAGTGTGGATGACGCCTAAAACAAGGACTTAGTAAACAAGCACCGCACATTCTCCACAGCAGTCCGGTATGCCTGAGAATACTGTGAGGCAAATTCAGGGCTGGATTCAAGAATGGGTCTTACGGGTTACTTAAAACTGGCAATTAAACATGATTTATTAAGAAATGATAGGCGAACGTAGGCACAGTGCTTGCCAGCTTTAGCCACTCTGTAACTTGCATGTTGGTTAAAGCCAAATGCACAGGAATAACCAAAGCCTAGTTCTCTCACTTCGGAAAGAGCAAGAATCGTGAGTCCATTTAAATTAAGCATCCCAGAAGGAATCTGGAATCAATGTGACAGGGATTGGCATTTTTCAAACAGTGAAAGACAGGAGTGTTAGGGCCAGAGAGATAAGGAATTGAGATCAAACTGAATGTTAGCAAGAGTAGAAACGGATTCGCTGGTCTAAAACGTGCAAGCTGTCTTAATGTCATCATGGGTCAGAAAAGGGAATCCATGGGTGATCTAATCAGTGACGTTATTGATGTGTAGTAAGGACAGTAAGGGGTCAAGCACACCAACCTGAATAACTCCGCTAGTAGTGGGGGAGGCCAATAAAGAGTTATCACCTATTTTAATAGCCTGGGTTCTCCCAGTGATTTAAGAAGTAAACCATCGCAGTAGCGGACCACCAAACCCCGTAGATCGTAATTTGTTGAGGAGTGCTCCGTGGGGAGCTTGGTAGAACGCCTTGCGAATATCAAGATAGATAAGAAAAATACACAGCCCGGCATTGCGGGCGGCCGAAATATGATCGAAGAAATCAACCCAGCATGTGGTACCTGAACGCCGTGTCATAACCTTCACTGCCGACTGCTAAGGGTTTTGGTGTTGAGCAGGTAATCCATGACAGGGACTTTGATAAGGCGCTTAATGGTACGGGAGAGTAAGCAGGTATGTTGGATGCCACGATAGCCGGCTAGAGTAGTTCGCGGACCTGACTTATGGTAAGGAACAATAGTAGAATGCTTCCACTGAATTGGAACTGTTTTGATAGGGAAAATGTAGTTGTGTGCCAGTGTGACTCGGCCGAAAATCCCGATGACTTACAAATTGCTCGTTTTTAAATTGGGCGGTTTTCCTCATTCTTCCATGTCACTCGGGCAAAATACGAACAATGGTGCAGGTGTACCACTTTCGGAAGCCAAATATGTCAGAATTGAGCCAGAATGTACGTGGCCCAATGGGTGTGGATCAAGCACTTCAAGATATCCTCCATAGGCCACGAATATTTTCAGGGTCTGTCACCACCGGAGGCTCCGAGGGCGAGACCAGACTCTCCGCCGGCCAGAGTCACGCGCACCCTTTCCGTTAACAGGTAAGTTGAGCT